GATCTGATGTGGCAGAGACCTAGCCATAAAAAAGACACTAAACTTGTTTTCTCCACCCACAATCAATACTAAAAATGGAACAATGACCAGTGTGGTAAACAAGGTATTTCTCCTATTTGTTCTTGCCAAGCTTCTTCCCAGAAGGAAAATACAAGCTTATTTGTGGACTGCTGTATTAGAAGATGTGCAACACCGTGCAAGAATCACATTATTTTATGCATGTTGGCCAGAGCTAGGGGTTTTACAGAAAGTACTTTAATGGCTCTGCACTGACCCCATGACAGCAGCTGCCTCATTTACTTCTGTAGCAGCTCCACAGCATCCATATAAAGTAATATAAATAGTATGAAATTATACTTGCAGTAGCCTAAGTTTCCACAACAGAAAGACTACAGGTGGCAAGGCAGGACCCACACCTACTAACAGGGCAGTGAGTCTTGGCAGTAGACAGAACAGCTACACACAGTATCTAGAAGAAGGAAGTTCCTTTGTCATTGGATCAAGCAAAAAGAAAGAAAAGACACAAGATTTACCCCTGAGTTAGTCAACGTGACCAACCTGGAAAGAGGCAAGTGAAGGACACACCACCAACAGCACTCTGGGGCAAGGCAGACTGTATCACTTCAAGTAGTTAACGTGTTATCATTGAACCAGAAAAGGGATAAGAAACAAGGAGTCTCCCCCAAAAAAACCACACAAGTGCAGGCATCCATGTAAGTTTTCCTGTATAAAGCAGAAGAATGGTCCAACCACAGTCTTCAGAAGCTGACCATAGAGTAACAGTCATTCTCCTAACTCTATGTCTTATGCAGGTAGGTAGACTTTGTTTCCTCCCCCCCTCCACTCCCCCCCGCTGTGTGATACCCCACAAATATACTGCTCTCAGTTCAAGACCAAAGACAACCTTGGACCTGGGACACCTTTGGCTAGAAGGAAAGAAAGTTTAAGGACTCAGAACTGCAGCCTGTTTCCTCACAGACAAAAACTTGAAATATCTGCAAGGGTTTTCAAAGTTCTAAGACTCCAGTTACAGTGAGAATAAGACAAAGCTGTTACCAAAATAGCTTTGTCATCAGAAAAACAGTAAAACTTAATCCAAAATAATCCTTGACTGTTTCTCAGCACTAGAAACATTATGAGGCATGTTACCAACCAATAAAAACTATGAAAGAGAACACAGAATTGTGAAAATAAGTCTGTGGCTTCAAGTTTACTTTTTTCTGATTTGTTTTAGAAGTGTTCTCCCTTCTCAAGACGAGTTATTTTTAAATTCTTCCCACCCTTCAAGTCATTACTGTTCACCACATGCCTCCAAACTGGAGGAAGAAAAGAGGTGGGTAACAAATACACAAACCCAAAAACACTACGAATCAAATCCAAAGGCCTCTCCCCCTCTTTGTATCCAAAAGTGTCCAGAGGGACCAGAATGAGAAGAGATGAAGATATTACCATCTCTGGAATACAAGTAGCACCAATTAACACATTTTCACAATAGAGGGATTTTCTTTACCAGTGCTTTCTCAAATTACTCTTTCTCAACAATACCATTCAAATGTTGAGTGGTAGTGAAGAAAACATGCAAAACTACCCCAACAAGTGTTTCCAACCAGAGGGGAAAAAGAATTCCTATTATACTGATGACTTTTTTTTTTTCTTTTTTAAATTAGGCCTAGAGCATTAGCCTTATTTTTTCATTTCATGATCTTCATGGATTTGCCCCAACTGCTATTTCAAGTTTAGCAATACATAAGCAATAATTAATCATGGCAAGATATACTGTACCCTTTCTCTATTGCTTTTAGGTCCAAATTAGTTGACAGACACTCCTCTGGCCTAGAGACTCTTTCGTTATTTGCTGCCTGCCACACTATGAAGCGATGTGGCTGCTGGTTAAGTAGGCTTCTAGCTGTAAAGCACACGCTCATGTCACATGTTCCAGTTCCCAGATTAAAATAATCCATAATAGGTCTCCTTAAAAGACCAAGTAGAGAAAGCAGAATTGCAGAGACCAGAATAGGGTGAATGTGCAGGTATTCAACTACCTCAGGAAAAAAACTTTCCAGAAGAGATGCAAAACCAAGTGGCAGAGTACAAAGGAAGCAAATAACTATGGCTGGAAAACCATCCTGATTAAACACAGATACTAATTTATGAAGAAAGGAAACTATGCTAATCAAATGCTGTTCTTAGCCCTTCACACTTACTGTTACTGCAACAGAAGGCAGCAGATCCATACCAACCCAGCCTGCTGAGCTGCACTCTTCCAGTACTCATTACATTTTGGTACTAAATAAATAAAGGCAAATATGTAACAAATTTGCTTACAGAGTTTCATCTTTTTAATACATATTGTAACTGATTATTTCTTCCCTGTCTCCCCAGATACCTTAGGACTTCAGTTTACATCAATAATGGCTTGAAACAATTCCTTTCCTTGAATTGGTGCAGTAGGAAACAATAATAAGCTGAACAGTCAGCTTTGCTCTAACACAGACATAAGAGATATGAATATTCTACAAAGAACACTACCCAAGGAAAGGTAAAGTCTCAGTTAAAAAACCAAATGCAGTTAGCATCAGTGATTTCATTCAATACTGTCAAAGGAACATTCATGTTCAGGAATAACTTCTTCCATCAATACCTGTCTACCAAGATATGAGGCTTTCAAAAAAAAAAAAAAAAAAAAAAGCCACAGAAGTATTATCCACAGTTTTACTCCTTGCTATTGCATACTCAGGAAGTTCTGACATTTAAGATTACTTGAGAGTAAAGCTGTCTGTATTTGCAATTTGAAATGAACAAGTACATCCTGCCTGTTTAAATTATTCTCAGACAGGTTGCCCAAAAAGATGATTTTAAAGATGCCCAAATGTGTATCAGCCTAAAGCCATATTGTACTCGCTTTCAGTTTCAAAGACCTCCTTTCATCTCTGAAGAATGGAATGTTGTTTACTGCTCAGGATGCTTTGCCATGCTATCATGAATGTTTTACAAATGTTCTGCTTCTTAAACTAGAGAGTGTTTGTCCAAACTATTCTTTATTCTACATGAGAAGTCTTAAGCCTTTTATAAATCCTGCTCAGATATATTGGGACACTTAAATGTCTAAGTCTAAACATCTTTCTCAAGTTTGATGTCCTGCATAATTTCACAAAAAAGAAAAAAGGTCTGCAGAGAATTGCTTTCTGAAAGCTTAAGTACTAGGCACTGGAATGCAAGACTGCATGCAGGAAACAAAAGTAGTTTCACTGGCAGAATTACTTTCACCTACTGCCCTTATGATTCAGTCTAGAAGGCAACCTATATGAGTAGCATCTTAAAATATAGCAGGTAAATTTGTGACAATGAAGTGAAATGCTATCAAGGGTTATGGTCAGTTTTAGGCACATTATATCCACAGTCTTTTAAGCTAGCAATGTAAGTAATGGGTCACCACCTTACAGCAGCAACACAACTGTCTCACAACACAATCTCATGAAGCTTTTAATAAAGTAGACACTCCAGATGATGAGAAATAACTGAAAAGCATCTAACAAGCAGATTTGTTAAATATTCAGAAACAAATCTGGCAATAATTACAGAAAACCACTACGAAGAACAGGAATAGTTAGTTACTCGATAGAAGCTTGGGGGAAGAGGAGAAAAGGATGGGGAAAACTGTTCTTGTGCTATACTAATTTTTTTCAAGTATTTCCAGTGGTATTTAAAAAAAAAAATTAAATATACCTTCAGCTTCATGAGAAAGTGCACTAAAAAAACTTCAAAGTAGTGAAGAGTAGCTGCTTAAAAGCTGGGAATGCTACTTTCTACAGCTTGTTTAGATACAGATTCCTTCACTTCTCTTATGGTAAACAGGGAGTGTTCAAGGAGCCAGTTGTGTCTCCGTGTCAGAACAAAATCAGAGAAACAAGCCTACCTCACCTTCTTAGAGGTCTCTGGCCACAATTCAGGCTGAGAGAAAACCTACAGGACAGACTGTCTCAGTTACGTTGCAAATGGTTGAGCTTTATACAAGGTCCTCCCAGACTCCGGCATGCAAAAACACGGGTGTATTTTCTATTCTAGCATCTATTTAAGCTTCCTAGGCCACAAGAATAAAGACTTAAGGCTCATCAGAAAGAACAACTTTACCATCACTTCCTCTACACACAAGTTACTTTCCAGGCTTCTGCTCACTATGCTTGGGTCAGCGGCCAACCAGACGTTCACTTGAGCAATATCAAAGCTTTCTGAGAAAGAGGGGCCAAACTGGCAACAACACTTGAATGACAGCCTGCAACATGTTTCTCCTGTCTCCAGCCAAAATGATGATCTCTAACAGAAGTAGGCTGTCAGTCTCCTTGGAAAGAACTTCTGCAGCCCCGTAACCATCCCAGAAACAGTAAAACTCCAGCACAACATTAAGAGATTTATCCAGACCAAGTTTTTTAAAAGCGCCTTCAAGGCACTTTTAAAATGCAGCATAAGCCAGAAAAAGTGAACTGGCTCATAGCAGGAACTAAATGGTCTACCTTTATTTATTGCTTTATTGGGGGACCCAGCCAAGGTGAACTCACGGTGTATTTGAGAAGAGTCCCTATGCATTGTGTATGGAAAAAAGTCCACAGCCAAATGTCAAAGCAAAAGCCATTTCAAAAGCCATCCAAAACAGCCATCATGACTTCAGCTAAGGGGCCATGACAACTACCTGTTGTGGAAGACCACCACACCTTCATTATCCTCCACTATAGATAAAAGTTTCTCTGCACCATCATTTCATTCATGCCTTTACACACAGTGCTCTTATCCACAGTTCTTCCTATAGCACACCATTAAACATCCCCATCAAATTTACTAGGAACAATCCTTTCAAGTATTTAACACACAAACTAGCTTCTTACAGTACATAACCAGCCATTTCACGTAAAAGAATTCTCACTTCTTCCTATAGGGAAGGATAAAAATAATTCATTATGAAGATACAACACCACCATGCAAGTCATTGCAAGCTATCTCCATACCTCCAGCCCAGATCCAATGTTTGATGAATCCAATGGTCTTTTCTTCCTTGGTCCAATGGCTGCCAAAGCTGTGAGGTTGGCTTCTCTTTGTTGCATTTGTGCTAACTCCAATTGTTGCATCTATTTTAAAAAGAAAACACGTATATTAATTAGGATATACAGTATCCTAAAGGTCTTGGTTCTCCTTACGTGAGCTTCAGACAGCTCTGCGGTCCCTACTGAAACAAGGTATTTCACAGCAGCTTTTCCTGTCTCTCTGGACACTTTTGACAGATTCCAACAGTCAGGCTTAGAGCCCTGAATTGCCAACAGCCCTATAGACAGCACTGCGTAAGTAACACTTTTTTACAGAGACTGCATTGTGGTAGGAGCCTTGCTACTGGCTCCTCAGCTCATAAGCTTTGCCACTTCTGATTAAGAGAAAATACTGATCAGAACCAGTTTATGAGGACAGATTAGTATGAAAAGTTTAAGTTGCTAAGTTTTGTGAACTGGGCACATTCTTAATTCAGAATCTCAATTCATGACTGCACAAGCAAGACACTCAATTTCTTCACGCTGTATCACCTGAACCCAGCACTCAAGACTGCCATTTTGAAACATCTTATTATCCAACTGAACAGGATGCTGTCAGTTCACTGATGTTCTTTCTTTTCCCAGTACATATTTGAATCTTCAGGCATATCTGAAGCAAGTTAGAGATACACTGTATATATTTATTTTCCATCACCTCCAAAAACCATTCCAACACAAAGAAATCCTTAAAAACAACCTCTATCTGGGTTAGGTAAACTTGGGATGGGAGAGAAACCCATAGTCAAGAGGATTAAAAAAAGAAAAAAACAAGTTTTATCTCTGCATTTTGAGGTACAAAATACTCCATTCTATTCGGTAACTATAGATGCCAGCTCCTCTAGAGCTCAACTCGGTCAAGTGACAAGACAAGGGGTAACAGCTTTAAACTAAAGAGGGGAGATTTAGACTAGACATAAGAAATAAATTTTTCACAATGAGGGTGGTGAAACACTGGAACAGGTTGCCCAGAGAGGTGGTAGAAGACTCATCCCTGGAAACATTTGAGGTCAGGTTGGACAGGGCCCAGAGCAATCTGGCCTAGTTGAAGATGTCCCTGCTCACTGCAAGAGGGTTGGACTAGACGACCTTTAAAGGTCCCTTCCAACCCAAACCATTCTATGACTCTATAAAGTCTGCCAACAGACTGACTAGCTTGGATTGGCCACCTTGCTAATGCAACTACACTGCTTTCAGATCTGCCAGCTGGAGCACAGGTGGAGGGGAGCATTTGCTAGAGAAGGAAGCTTTTCTATTTACTCAGGTTGAGTTTGTCCTTAAACACAAATCTCTGGGTTTGATGTTAACCCTTCAATGACCTGACATGCAACTAGAACAGCTTCTTAGCCCATGCTCTCCCCACTCCCAAGACTTACAAAATGGTTTGGACAGGAACTCTCTGCATGCATGCATATGCAAATTTTTAAAGAAAGTACAGCCATATCATGGTAGCAAAGCATCCGATTCTCCTCCCTTCCCTCCACCTCCTGCAATCATAAAACCAATTAATTGGAATTCCTCATCCAGTCAGTACAGATACTTGCTTAACTAAGCTTGAAATACACTCAGTTTTTGCTTGCTTTTCAGCTCTCAGAGATCCCACTTGAAGAACAGAAATTCAGCTGGTAAGAACTCAGCTTGTAGCACCTACATGGCATTACTCCCCCACATGCTACTACTTTAAATAAAGAAGAATCCACAATAAAGTAATACTGTGGGTTTTTGGTTTGGGGTTTTTTTTGGGGGGGGTGGGGGGAGATTTGGGGAGGAGGGTTGTTTGATTGGGTGGGTTTTTTTGGAGGTCTTATTTTAGTTCAGATGGGTAGACTTGCTCTTACATTAGCGATGCTGGTAGCTTCACATCAAGTACTGCAGCAGCTAGGCTGTTTAAAGAAAAACAGTATTTCAGTGCAAGATTCCTAAAAGGACATCCTGCCCTGTAAGACTCAAAATATACACACGCTCAAGATTTTGCAGTAGAAATCAGGGAATGCAAGACTTTGATGTATACATGTTGAGAGTAGTTTGATGCAGTGGTTTGGGTTTTTTGCCATTTTTCTTGGTGTTTGTTGGGGTTGGTTTTTTTTTTTTTTTGTTTTTTGGGGCTTATTTCCATCTTGTTTTTCTTAGCTGGCTTGATCCAGAAAGATCAGATTTAGAGAGGTTGGTTTTTTTGGGTTTTTTTTTTTTTGGAAGATGAGACAAATGCTTCAGTTACGAAAACACCACAATTTGCAAGTCAGCTTTGATCACACTATGTAGGCTTTTGCTTACAGAAATATAGTATTATTTCTTCAATGCCAGATACCATCATTCACTTACCACACTATTTTTGCTTTTGTGTGCAGTGTAAACACTTACAACTTTATTTATCAGAATTAATTCAGATCTGAATGGGGTTTATTTTGTTTTTTCAAAGTATACAGTATTGCTTTCAAGAATATTTTAGACTAAGTTTTTATGTTCCTTAAACTTGAAAGCTACTAGTTTTCTGCAATTGTCTGTTACCTCCAGCCAGCCTACTTGCATAAAATGTTCAAGATAAACTTCCCTTAATCTCAGTCTTAAATGTGTATATTTATATCCAGGAACACATTGCAACCAATCAGGGATGGAGGGAAATAAGACCAAATGTGAAAAATTAACTTGAAATTTCACAAACACTGTGAAACTAGAAACTATTTTATGTGACTTCATCACTCCCCAGATTAATTGAACGCAATTAAAAGTTGAGATTCTTTGGTGGAGGCACATGCTGACTTCCAACCCCCGCTGCTCAGGCCTCCAACACCTGGAGCCACCCCCACTAACAGGCAGCTATGGAGCACCCCTGTAGAAACGCACCTCCCTGCTAGCAGTGCAGTTCAGTCCTCACGGTGCTCACCTGTGCACCACAGGCTTCTTGCCATGAGAAAAGGCATGTCATGCACATGGAATCCCTCTGGAGGCAGATTAAATTCCAAAGGGCTCCAGTGGCAAAGAAAACCAGAAGGGGAAAGATTATTTGCTTTACTTTTAAGAATCATTACACTTAAAATGAAAAAGACTTTTAAAACCATTAAACTTAAAACAAAAGCCTTCATTAGCCTAACCTTGTGCTTCCACCCTGGGATTCATTAGAAAACATATCCCCCCTCTTCCTCAACCCTACAAAACACATACAAACCAGCTTCACTGCAGTTTGACATGTCAAAAACAGGTAGCTGCTGAACGTTTGCTCACTGGCTTGAAGCAGTATTGAAGACCCCCTCGCCTTCTTACAGCTGACATTGATGGGCAGCCATGGTGAAAATCAAGGACAAGAGGCAGAGCTATGAATTAAATAATGAAGGGGCTTTGGGTTGGCATCAGCACAGGGTGGAGGGGACTGGGTGGGTTGAGCCTTTTGGTGGAGCACCAGGCTGAGGAGTGGGTAGCGCCAGCGCACCTTCACCATTTACCCCCCATGATTCAAGCTGACAAAGCACGCTGCCACACAGACACTCTGCGGAGCGAGCACTGCTGCTGGAGGGCAGCACTGGCAGAAAACCCACTGCTACAGACGGCAGGACAGCACTTGAGGGACAGTAAGAAAAAGATGCACTTTCTAAAAACAGAATTGAGGCATTTTTGACCGTGTAATTCCCAAGACAATACCAGAAATGCATGTCATCACCATAATCTACTGTCTCCAATATATTTTCCACCTTGTAACCACTTAAAGGATTTTTCAAATCAGGCAGAATCTCACCAGGGTTTTGGAGCAAAAGAAAAAAAGGAAATCATAGTCCTGTTGAATTCTAGACATCTCGGGGATTTTTCTGAGAACATAATTAAGACAAATTAATTTAAACATTCAAATCTCCATAATGGACTCAACAGATTCCCATTAAGTGATATGGGCAGGCATCCAAATTACCCTGCTGAAGCCAGCAAAATCATCTTTTCATCAAGTTTTGTTCCATTAAAAAGTGTGAGATTAAATGTCCAAACATTGTGTGAGCAGTTAAAAGCACAGGATAAGGAGAAGACAGGTAGATAACATCAAGGGATACCTGAGGATACTGGCTGGGTAACTACTGCTGGATTTTCCTAAACAATATTAGGAAAGAGCAGAAGGCAACTATGTCAAGTCAAATTTTTCTTTGTAGCACACAAGTTAGGGCAGAAAGATCACTGCAGCAAGCAAAAGACTGTAAAAGTAGTATATACACACACTTTATTAAAATATAACAGAGAAGCTGCATCTAGTATCATTTCTCTTCTAGGGGCCAGTTTTACTAATTCTGGTGTCTCTGACTAAAATAGGATACAAATAGGACCTGTCATACAAAGGACAGTATCTTGAAAACAGAAGATACATTTTTTTCCCCCTTGATTTCAGAAGTGTGTAATGGCAATTCAAGAGGAGCAGGGGGAACCTGTGACATACATCAGACCCACAAACTAGCAAGTTTCCCCTGAACCTGACCCACTTCATCTGCTGAAAGATGCTGCTGTGCCACCATGACGCAGGAGTCCAACACACGTCCTGTTCAAAATTCATTCCTCAAGAAGGGCGTCAAGAGAGGACAGTCTCCAGGGCAATAGGCAAATGAATGTTCACGCTCCTTCTCTCCCTTCCCAATTTTTACATACGCTAAGAATTGCAGTACAAAGAATTCTAAAAACCTGTGTATAAAGATCAAATTGCTATGAAAACGTCTCAGAACTTGTAAAATAGTCTTTGTTGCTGCTGGCCTTTTTAATAATAAAAACAGGGTTTAAAGTCTGGTCTTGCAGCAAGCAGGAATCTCTGGGGTGACACAATAACCATTTTAGTTAATCTGACCTGCAGCACAAATCAGGAAGTAAGGTATGTTTTAAAGTCCTCCCTTATAGTGAAATGGCATTTCCAGCATGGCTGTAATCACACAAAATGAAAGGTTTTAAAATTGACCTCTCTGTTCTTCACTCAATCCTCTACTGAGAAAAATATTTCTTTCCTTGCTCACAGAAATTCTCTCTCACTTAGGTCTCATACTCCACATTTCAGAAAAATATGCAAAATCATTTTTAGTACTACACCA